TTTCCCGGCGGCACACGACGCCCCCGTATCATCTACAGGCTAATACCGCCTGTACCTGCTGTAGCATCTATCGCAGGAAGAGGGTAATCTCGCTCCTGGGGGGAGAGCAATCACGGGTAAAAAATCGATTTTATTTCCCGGCGACTCACGACGTCTGTCCCAGCACCTACAGGCTGATGTCGGACAAGCTTTGGGCGCGCAGCTTTTCGTGCTTTCCCGCCAACGCTCGACGAGCGAGAGCCGGCATCATGAGACATGAGTACTTACTCCTTTACGTCCTTACATGGGTATAGCGCTTTCGACAGAATCTCACCTCGGTCCTCGCAGCGTCTTGTGTGTCGTTGTGGAGACAACGTCGCAGTATTCGAACGGACTGGGCATGAGTCCGGCAGCGATGATGCCGCTAATATGCGCGATGTCAGCGTGGAGGTACGCATTGTGCTGGTCGCACACCTGTGGAAGTGCAATCAAGTGATTACTCGACAAATCTGTGTGTGTGTGTGTGGCGGAGGGGTCATTTGTGCAGTTTGATCAATTGCTGTGAGCAGGTGCAATCCAGCAATTACTTCACTAATGTGGTTAAAATGTGCAATTAAGCTTTTACTCCATCTATGAGCAGAATGAGCAATGAAGCCATTACCTGATCCTGTGATTTAAATCTGCAATCAAATTATCCAGTCCATCTTAATCCACGTTATTTCATGCAAGCCAATCCAGCATTCTCAAACGATAACTCCGAACTCATTTCATATCCATTATGATGCTATCCTTCATGATATGAGAGTATTTAAATGTACTCTTATTAAATCCAAACTCTGGAAACATCCAATAAACAATAACCCCTTCTACCACTGCTTGGCTTTACCTCACGGAATCGCTTGTAATCTATGATTCTGGAGTAGGCAGTGGCGCCAGCTATCATCAGACGAGGACGGAAGAAGTTTGCGAGCACTTCCATTTGATCGTAGTCGATGTATCCAGTCTTCACCTGCGCTTGCCAGAATTGAACCAGTATCATAACTTGACACACATTCGTGGTCAATTAGCAACGGTATAACATAGCAAGTGTTGGGGCTGGCATGATTGTCCTCAATGTGGAGCAACGAACTAGCGTACTATTACAGTTACTTATAGCCACGTTTCTACGCACAATGCTATCTTACTTTAAGAAGATGCGTCAATTGTCCCTACTTACATTTAACCGGTAAGGCAGCGACTCAAAAAATATTGAGGTTGCCGAAATTCTCTTCTTCTCGGTCATGAATCCATGTGTCAAGCTAAAAGAAATGTCACACGTCATCTTAGCAACATTTACAGTCATGCTCGGTACACAGTATGAACTAGTTTGCCAAATGAAATTGTTCTCTACCAATATAAGTAGCATCATTAATCGCCATAGAAAATGTTCCCTCGCAATTATAATTTTAGACAATAAGCCACAAAAGGGATTTGAAATGCCTGTAAAATGTTCATGTATATTATATCCACTCTAGATATACTGTTACAAACACTATATTTTATAAATGACAATATGGATCCTTTTAAAACAAACAGAATGCATTCTTCACAGCGAAACACTCTTTTCGGACAGCTAAATTCACCACTATATCTCAGCACCAGTGTTATACATATACTCATAGCAAACTTCACACAAATGTCACCCAATCTTCACTGTTAGAAGCTTGGGACGTTGCGTGCAGTTAAGCTACAGTGATACACGTATGGTTATGTACAGTGAGTTACACTCACTGGCCTCCATGGGGCAGATCCAAACCCATGATCCTGTCGTGGGGTTTTAGCAAGCCAGTGTAGACGGCAAAGTTGGCTGGTGAACCAGAGTAGGGCTGAACGTTCACTCCCCACTTTGCCGGATCAAGGTCGAACGCCTCCAGCGCCCTCTTGCGGCAAAGGTTCTCAACTTTGTCAATGACTTCGTTGCCTCCATAGTACCTAACAGTGATCTCAGATGTAATTACGTGTGTAGTAACTATGGTAACCTGCAAGTAGTGTCGACCTTCCCACATACAACAGCAAAGACAGGTGTGCACATCAGATCGTTAAGGGTTCGTTCACAATTATCAACATTTTCACAAGCGTATAAACCATACGCTGGGGGGGGGGAGGGGGTCAATGACCGCCGTACGCTTTCAGCATTTCAGAAAAATGTCGATCCATTTCCTGCACCGCGCTCCCCAGCCGGCATCGCGCACGTCCTCACGCTGCGACGCGCCGAGACAGGCAAATCCCTTTATATTGAGGTCATTGGGACCACCAAATTATGCTTGTTATAATGAAATCTTATTTATTAATATTATAAACAGTATTTAATAATTTTGATCTGTTTCCACTTGTTTGTGCCAGAAAATTTCATTCTTTATATCAAGATTTCGTTATATCCGTGCTCGTTATAACAGGGTTTGAATGTAATTCATATACATCAAGAGTGCATAATAGAGATGCATATACATCTCTATTATGCACTCTTGATATACATGTATCTCTATGTAGAATAGTGTGAAAAAAATATCAACATATTTCTTCGTACACTTTTCTGGGAGAAGGAGGGGGGGGGTCTCGAAAAAGTGTACTCTTTGTACACTTGTGAAAATGTTGATAATTGTGAACGACTGCCAAGTGCTATTGACATTGGAAGATGTACTGTACAAAGGTACCTCATTCAATGCATTATCTATAGAGTATAGATTACCTTGCACCAGGGTAGCCCTCTGCATATTTATTGTTCAAACAAGAGCCAAGAGCTTCTAGAACCGCCCTACTAGCAAAGTTCTGAAAAACAGAATAACGTAGGGTATCTCTAAAATAAACAAAAGCCAAATATCCACTGGTGAGATAGAGATCCGACTCCATATATATCTACGTATCAACATTTATATTTATTCATAGTGTTCTATGCCCACATCTATAAAGATACTGCAATTTTTTTAGAAAAGATTTGTTGATTTGGCAAAAGTCCAGTCTCATGTGAAATTTTAAACCAGAGTGATCATGTACATCAGCCAAGGCAGACGAGTTACTGTTAGCCAGGGCATAAAATTAAGATTTTTTGCACTGACCCACAGGGCTTGCAATGTTCAGCAGTTTTCTACCAGACCTCACCATAATTTACCAGCCCTCACAAATATTGTTTTTTTTCTTCAAAAATTAAAGAGAAGACTGTTTCACTCACGCATGCTTGTCCGAAAAACGTTGTAGTGTGCGGCATCGCGTAGTAGCTGTTGAACAGACTATAATGCAGATTGTGAATAATGTCCGACGTGTTTTTGTCGATGTCATGTTTCGCGCTTGCATTCTCGGTATCAAATTTGTGAAATGTTGATAAATCATCGCATGATATCCTTCAGGTAAAACAGTATTGTAGACTGTTTGCTCATTAATGCTATGTATTAAAATATAGCGCCTCACTAACACGACTGAAACCACCGGCTCGGAGGGCCGGTGTTTTGCCAATGTTACTGGCCCTCCAAATAATTTGCTGGCACATGCCGGTGGGCCGGTGCTAATTTTGTGCCCTGCTGTTAGCACATTTACCACCTATCTTTCTATCACTCTCGATCGTTCTGACAAACCTCTGACGCTATCAGCTCGAGTCCATTGACCTGCCTAGCCTTCTCATCGGCAATGAGACCGCTTAACTCTGGGTCATCTTCAGCCAGTGTCTCTTGTCCCGTCCAGAGAGAGCGAGGAAAGATTCCCGATTGCTTTGTTAACTGTAACATTTACATGAATTGGTGTAATTCTGTAACTGTAACATTTACATGAATTGGTAAATTTACTCAAGAGTATATTACTCCCATTCTGAGATACATCTTTCACATTTAACTTATATATATCACACAATACTACACCAGAAATAGTTCAATTCACACATACAATTTCAATTAATATATTAGATTCACTGCTATTTCGAATATGTTAAGATAGTTAAATAGTAAGATCGAGTTAGAATATGTCCGAGTCTAGAATAGTGTTAATATTGATTAGTTAGCTTAATGCACCAGTCAACTGAAATCCCGGCCCCCCGACCCCCGGGGAAAAGGCGGAGAATTTAACACTTCCTTAGTGTCAAAAACAGCAATTTCCCTGCCCATATGGGGCGGATAGTCTGTTAAAAGTCCCTATTGTGGTAGTACTATATGGATAGGTGATGAGGCTGCGGCGGCAGAGTGATATGAGAAATAAAAGACTGGAAAGATGGCTACCAAATCATAATCAGCGTTCGCAGTTTACTGGTGATGAGATACCACAACATGGTGGCAGCGGTTTGGTTTACGAATCCACTGTACAGTCAAAGTCTCCATCATTCTTTGGTCGTGGGGATCATGCAGCCCCGTGATAGAATGGACGGTGAAATATCTGGCTAGCTTGCAGCATACGAGACTGAATTAGACGAGATGAGAGTCACTACAGAGTACAGGCTACAGCCTACATTTCACGGCAGGCGAACGACAATGAAAAAGGCGGGAGATCACGCGCAGCTCTGCCGCTAAAGCAGGAAGGACACAGGGAGCGGAAAAATCAAATAGCAAGTCGGTGAAGAAGACCACGGCTGTTAAGACTGTTAAGAAAACTGCAAGTGCGGTGCCTTCATGGCAATAAGCCGACGCGCACAAGGCCGCGAGTTCTAAGACTGCAACGAGTGATAGAAGAAAAGGCCGTCGTATTCGCTCACGCTGTAGACAAAAGGACGCATCTAAGACATATCTGGAAAAGCAAGTGTCATCATATGCCAATGCGGAGGAGAAAACGAGGCCAGCGCAGCCAAAGACTATAGACACATTAAGAATTAAAGAAGAACGGTATTGTTAATACATATAGCCTGTACTTGTAGCATCAGAATACCATAGCCAGTAAAACGAGCGGTCCCGGTTTAGTATGTGTGTTAGAGTTTTAATATGCAAGCAGCACGCTGAAGATTGTATCAATCCCGCGAATAGGCAGGTCTATAAATAGACTCCACGGGTATAGACCGAATCAAGCGAAGTGTATGTTGTATGCTAATATGCTGTCGGTCCATGCGTGTATTAATGACACACGGTATAGATAGGATGCATATTTACTGGTGTTCGCGATTCTGAATGGAATTGTAATGTACCTGCATGTGATAGGTGCAGACGTACAGTGTTGTATCTCACACAGAGCATATATTGGCAATCGCGTATCCTTGAGTCAGGCTGCGGCGCGGTAACACTACTGTGACGACTGTTTGGTTTTAGTGTTGAGACGGTTGGATATTTTCATCAGTCTCTAGGAAGACCATTTGTTTACTTGAGTTGAGAATCGAGGATAGTCGTAACATGGCGCGCCTACCGGAAATGAGTTGGCAGATGCCAGACCTGGCAAGTGGATTCTCTCTTTTTAGACAGCGTATGGAGCTGTGTTTAAAAGACTTAGACATTACAAATGAGGTAAAGAAAGCAACGAAGATAAAGATTGCTTTAGGGACAGAGGGTTTGAGATGCCTCAATGCATCAGGTCTTAGTGAAACAGACCAAGACGATCCGGAAATGATTTGGGAGTACTTTGACAAGCAGTTGAGAGTCAACATCAATTTCTGCATCCATCGCCTTGAGCTCATGAGGTACAGGCAACACCCTGAAGAGACAATCGATGAGTTTGTAACGCGTTGCAGGGACAAAAGCCGCCAGTGTGATTTCTCTAAAGAGGAGCTCAATGAACGCATAGTAGAACTCGTGATTGCATCCACACATTATGATGGCATGCAGCGCGAGTTGTTGCAGAAACCGGCGGGCTATGCCCTTACAGACGTGGTTACCCTAGGCAGGCAGTATGAAGCTATTGCTGCAGGGAAACAGTGTCTGGCAGACCTCTCACCTGTGTCGAATATCGACGCAATCCGTAGGAACCCACTGGGGCCAAACAAGGGAGGGAGACCGAGGACAAGTGATTGCAAGCAATGCGGTTTCTGCGGACTGCACCATCCTCCCAGACAGTGCCCTGCATATCATGATACCTGGAAGCACTGTGGAAGAAGGGGGCATTGGGCCAAGTGCTGCAGATCGAAGTCGGATAGAACTCCTATCCCCTCCTGGAGGCGTAGACCGAGACAAGAAAAAGTGGATGCCATGCTTGTAGAAGAGGGCCAGTTACTTGCGGACCACGGGGAGGAGGGCTTCTCTCAAATGTTCAGCTCCATATTGATTTCGAGCACGGACACCAAGGCAGGAGAGAGTACGGAAGCCTTCACAGTTCTGAGCATCACCTGTCCATCCAAGGTTGGAAAACATCGCCTGCAAGTAAAAGTAGATACTGGGGCAGGTGGCAACACACTCCCCCTCCGTATCATACAAATGTATCTCAAGGGACAATGGCGCTCTATTGTGAAACCACGACAAGTACAGCTTACTGCGTACAATGGATCCAACATCCCTTGCATCGGTTCCATTGATCTCATGTGCCTATACAGACTCCACATGGACCAAACAGGAGTTCTTTGTGGTTGAGGTAGCTGGACCTGCGATCCTAGGCCTACCAGGCAGCAAGGCTCTGAGTGTCGTCACCATCCATACAGTGACGAAGGATGACAAGCCGCTAGAATACATACATGACCAGGTCCAAAGCATTCAGACGGTTAAAGATCTCGTGGAA